TTTATATTTGAGTAATTTACATGTATCGTCTTTTATTTCCTTAACTATCCCTAGAATTATATAATGCTGGATAAACTAGCGATTGTGGATACACTATAAATAACGTATCTCACATGAAAAAAGGATTTTAGGTAATATTTGTATATAAAAGAGAAGGGAAAGACGAGCCCCACTTTCTACTTAAATATACATCTTTGGAAATGAGAGAGTTTCCATTAAAATGGAAATAGGTAAATTTTTACAATTTAGACATTCAATCACAATTTATTGCGGTAATGTCTAGTGAAGATAGTCACATAATAACTCAAATATGCTATTTGATCAATAAATCAAATATTGTTAGTAAACACATTTATGAAATTAAATCATTTTCTTAATTTTTACTTTTTAGAAGACACACTGACATAGGTACAGTCATGATATTGATTTGATTGATTGGTTATAATTGAGATACTATTCATATGTTTATGCCAGCCTTTATAAATAATTCAGTATTTATTATTTTTTATCTTAGGATCACCATCTTAGTCAATGTCAAAACATAGATTTATAAATATAAGTTATTTCTTTCTCCATCTTCATTTTGTTCATGAAATGGTAAACAAATTTTGGTAATCATTTGAACATATCGCAAAACTTGATTTATTTGCCTGAAATGGGCGTCTCTGATTGAATAAAATATTGAAGTTGAACATTTACTTGATGATTTGATTTTTTTGATAAGCGCAAAAATTGTAGTACAAGTATTTGTTTTAAAAATCTATTTATTGAATATGCGATTAACTTAAGAAGGAAAACCATAAATGACAAATATTAACTCATCTCATAAGATTGAACTGAAATTAAAAAAAAATAATGTGATCTTTTTTTTAAGATTTAGTCAAACCAACATTAATCGAAACATCTAAGTTTCCTATTCAGTAAATTTAAAGAAAAAATAAAGAGTTGTCTGGAATAGAATAAAAGGCTTTGTACGAATTTTAATGTTAGATTTATGTCTTCTCAGTTTATAAGCTTTAACATTTAAGCAATCGTCCTTATAATCGTTCACGACTTTCTCAGAGTATTAAACATATTAAAATAGGGACGATGCCTCGTGTAGGAAGAGCCAAGCTCTCTGTACGTTACAGAACCATTGCAACAATTCTTTTAGGGTCAGTGTTTGGCCTGTTGTAAGGCAAACATTCTGTCTCTGTCAATTATACTCTTTCTCTCGAGGGAGTTAAAAATACCTGCCCTTCATCCCGATCGATAAACTTTGCAAAAATGAATTATTGGATTTACAGTTTATTTGTTATCGTCTTGAATAAGAATTATTTGCCTCTGGACGTTCACAAAAAAAATCAATCAATAAAACATGAATTCTGACAGTGTATATTTTGTGTATCTATCAATGTACAAATTATTATGATATATATATTAAAAAGTTTTAAATTTTGTCCACGCTGTGCATAAAATAGGAAAAAAAATAAGGTTGAAAATGCACCAAATATTTATATTCAATATGAATATTCACATTTTGTCTATTACAACAACAAATTGTTCAAAAATGTTCTCCATCATAGGCGGATCCAGGGGGGGACCTGGGGGACCCGGCCCCCCCCCCCTTTCGTGGGAAAAATTTGGTTGATTATAGAGGGAATCACTGAAGCATGACTGGAGCGGGCCCCCCCCCCCCCCCCCCCCCCCCTTAGGTCAGTCAGCGGGCCCCCCTTGTGAAAAGTTCTGGATCCGCCACTGTCCATAGTATCCTACCGGTTTCACTGTTTAACAGATCTTCAAGGATGTGGTTGTTGGCGACGTCGTCAGGGGTAACGTCCATCAGCGACATTATTATTTAGTCCTGAACGTCATAATATAGCACAATGTAGGTACTTAAAACGAAAGTGAAAGTACATAATTATAAAGAAATGCCTTCAAGATTCCCATTTCATCTATATCATTTAGGACGGTGTTTCTTAATAAAAAAATTTATTTATTAAAATTACCTTTGACGACGTCGCCAGCAACCATATCCTTGAAGATCTGTTAAACAGTGAAACCGGTAGGATACTATGGAGAACATTTTTGAACAATTTGTTGTTGTAATAGACAAAATGTGAATATTCATATTGAATATAAATATTTGGTGCATTTTCAGCCTTATTTTTTTCCTATATATATATATATATATATAAACAAGTCTAAATTGAAAACAACGTTCAAACCTATGATTGCGTTGGATAAAAACCGTAATTTTTATACATGTGCATGCAAAACAAATTTCTTGTTAGAGGGGTCTAAATACAGCACAAACAACATTTTCCAAAAGACCAAAAAAGTGAAAAAGTATATTTTAACAAAACGCATTTGACTAACAGGTCGAACAACAAATGTTCTTAAACCCTGCTAACTGCCATTGACGATTGCCAAATAAACGGATCACCGATGTAATAAATGGATCTTAATTATAAATTTAATACTAAACAGAAAACAATAAACTTGCGGAAAAGATGGTATAATATATATATATAACTACTGGTATACTCTTTAGTGAGCATGAATAAAAGATAATGGGAAGAAAGCTGAGTTTATGCAAATGAAACAGCAACTCTAGGCATAAATAACAAAAAGATATCTTAGCTTAAAGTTCAAGTTTCGAGCAATATCTGTCATTTCCCCGTTCTCTTTTCACAAAACGCATCACGTTTTTCTATATGTGGAATGTATAAATACAGTCACACTCAGTCTGATTGCAGTGACGTTATCCATATTACAAATGTTGAAGTTTACCTGGCACTCCTCCCGCGAAAGAAATCTATAACCACTTGCTCAACTGGTATCTGTATGGCTGTATGGGATATATTAATATACTGTCCCGTACGACTTAATCCCTAAGGCAAGTGTCTGGAGAAGTCACGACTCTCCTCAGTAAAAGAATCAATGTCAAACTTTTTATAAAGATTCAGTTTTATAAAAATAAGGTAAATGTATGAATGCTAATGAGACAACTATCCACCAAATATCATAGTCGGCTATAAAGGGCCCCGACAAGAAAAATATGAAACAATTTAATTGGGAAAAATAACGGCATAATTTATAACAAAACAATTTACAAAAAATGACAGACATGAACCAACAACAACCACTGAAATACATGCTTCTGATTTGGGACAGGCACATAAAGAATGTGGCGGGGTTAATCATGTTTGAAGGCGCCAACCTTCCCATAACCTGGCACAGTGGTGTTACGACACAACAAGAGAAATAAATATAAAAATCAGTTGAAAAGGGCTTAATTCATCAGATCGACACAAAGCAGAAAAACACTTCTAACAAAAACACAGACCAGACGTGGCAGGGAATTTATACATACCTCACAACAAAAAAGACACAAAGTAAAGATCTGAGAGTACTCGTATGTACTGGCAGCTAGTTCAAAGCCAAAAACAATTAAGTTTAAACACTTATGGATCGAAGACTAAAATATCAATCAGTACACTACAATGCCAAAATACAGGTATCGACAGATTGTAGAACCGTGAATGTGCATATGTGTATTACAATAATTTTTAGTATGGTTTTAATTTACTGATAAAAAAATAAATATTTATACCAATGAAAACAATATTTGAAAAATCTAATTACAGTGTTGAATAGGTAACCTTTTAGAATAATTTTATTCAAAGGGTTGATGAGGTTACCCGGATCGTATCTAAATTTCCGGGCTCGGTAAACAACATCACCGTAAAATTCCTTTTGAAATAAGTTTTCCACAGGTTCAGCCAAACTTCCAAACCCAATCATTGTATCTATGGTAGAATATAGTGAAGGTTTTAAGTAATTTGTGGTAATAAAATCATTGACTACATAATTTACCAGTACTACATAGATTAGGCTTATTGAAATTCAAAACGTCACCGCAGACACGGGCATAGCGAACGAGTTAGACTATATAAACACCGTAAGGAACATCACCGTCCAAAAAGGGAAATATCTAATCTAAGAAAGAATAGTTATTGGTGTTTACATTTGATCTATTTAAAGTAAGTTTCTTTTAGTAAATTATGGCAGTATATTTAGAGAGAGTTCTTTATTATTTAACGAAAAAAATCATCAAGATAACGGTAAGTGTTGCTGAATTTATCAATTAATTGGAATTTAGATAGGTTTTTACTGAGTTTGACCATAAACTGTGATTCATAACAGTACAGGAACAAGTATGCTATTACACACCCGAGCACAGTTGGTGCCCATAGGAATGCCTACAACCTGTCGATAAACTTTATTGCCGAAACGTTATAAATGTTGTCACGGAGAAAATTTACAGCTTTAATCATCTCATCACACATCCAATAAGTATATCTAGCATACATACCTTTCTCATTAAAGAAAAGGGCTTTATATGAGTTGCAGCAACTACATTTGCAATCAGATTTTTCAAACGAACCTTTAATTAAATAGGAAAAGTTATGTTTGATAAGATTGAATGGGAGTGTAATATAAAGAGCGGAAAAGTCAGAACTGTTAATCGATTCAAAAGAACCACCAAACTCGCATAATTTATCTAAAACATCCAAAGAATAATTTTACAACCGAGAACTATTTTACAATTATGTTTTATTATATAAAATAATGATAAGTTCTTTGATAGTAGTTAATGAATTAGTAAAAAGCATCGAAATATTAGTAGTAAAACATTTACGAGGGGCCGAGATGAAACGATATTTTACGGGTGTTTTGTGTAGGTTAGGTATCCAATACATAGTCGAGACCTTCATATGTTCAGAGGAGGCCATACGCTGAGCTGTGGTAGTGACATTATTATTTACTATTTGACTGTCAGTCATCTTATTATTATTATTATTATTATTATTATTATTATTATTATTATTATTATTATTATTATTATTATCATTATTATTATTATCATCATTAATATTATTATTATTATTATTATTATTATAATTAAACAAAAATTACCTTCGAATATATGAAGGGAATGATTTTGAAGTTCTTACCTCAAACAGTTTCTCTACATCCACCGTATGTCAATCTGAAATCACCAGTTATATTATTGAATATGAATTATATATAGGACATCCGATTAATTAGTAACTGAATTCTATATTCAATTAAATAACAATAATTTCACAATTTAACAGATTGCAGTGATTCGTTGAACAAAGTTGTAAATTATGTGACTGTGTCATTGATGAAGTCGTTTCTTTTATTATTCAATCGATTATAATGTAATATAAATGCAATGTTTTTCCTTAATCATAATTTTGTATTTCAAACTTCATGTAAACATTTAAAATTTGATAACACCTACATCTGTATTGAAAGGAAACTAAAAATGATATTTAGTTATTATTATATAATGATAAAGCAATATGTCGTAGATAAACGATAATTTTTCATCTAGTGAAAATTGTGAAGCAACAGTGCCACCAACAGTACGAGTTCGGAAAGAATCCAACATACTGTACTTGACATTTCAGTAATGATAATTTTACATTCTACAATGATAATCGTTCGGCTTTTATGTTTAGAAAAAAAAATGTCAAAATTATTAATTAAAATTTGAGATTAATCAAATCGTATCGAAATCTTCCCTTGATATTTTAACAGACAATTTGATTACAAATTCAGTGATTGCAAAAAACGAGTTTACGTTGTTTTCGAAATGAAGCATCGTTTTAGTATATAAGATTTCTTTTAAATTTATGTATAAATTCTCGTTTTAATATGTGGATTTTTAATGCATGTTTATTCTGGACTTGAAATCTTGAAATGACTTTGCTGTAAAAAATAAATTTTAGAAGAGGACAATTTTTTTTCAATTTGATGTAAAGACGTCAAAACATTATACCAACATATAAGTATCGACATGATAGGACATACGTATAAATAAGTGAATACCAAAGTAATTTTAGTTATATTTTAATTCATTAAAACAGAAATCATTAAAGATAATGTCCAAAGATCTTACTGCATTGTTAAATCGATAACCTTTAAGAATTAGTTAGTTCAAGGGATCAATAAGTGTGCATGACTCTCATATAAATAGATGGCATCCATAAACAACACCACTGTGAAACTTAGGATGTATATATCCCTTTTGAAATAAGGTTTTTACAGATAAAACTAAACTTCCAAACCATATCTTTATTTCTTTTAAAGAATTCAGTAAAAAAATAAGTAGTAGTATTTTGTTGTCATGAAATCCCTGATTTGATAATTTACCAGATATACATATATAAGTATACATGAATCTGAAACGTCACTGTCGACACGGGCAAAGCTAACGAGTTTGAAAATTTACAAACTGTAAGAAAGGACCAAAAGAACCACACCGTCCAAAAATGGAAAATTAACAAATTGAATATGTAAATTTTTGTTCCGAGTTGTTCGTATTTTTCAGTATTTTGAATTGTAATGGACATCTGGTATTATTAAATATTTTGTGTTCGTTTACGTTTTGAATAAACTCATCATAGATACCAGAATTGAAATTTTGTACTTGCGCCAGACGCGCGTTTCGTCTACAAAAGACTCATCAGTGATGCTCGAATAAAAAAAAATTATAAAGGCCAAATAAAGTACGAAGTTGAAGAGCATTGAGGACCAAAAATTCCTAAAACTTTTGCCAAATACAGCTAAAGTAATCTATTCCTGAGGTAGAAAAGCCTTAGTATTTCAAAAATTCAAAGTTTTGTAAACAGTAAATTTATAATTATGACCATATCAATGATAATTCATGTCAACGCAGAAGTGTTAACTACTGGGCCGGTGATACCCTCGGGGAACAAAAACTTCACCAGCAGTGGCATTGATCCAGTGGTTGTAAATAAACTCATCATAGATACCAGGATTGAAATATTGTACTTGCGCCAGACGCGCGTTTTGTCTACAAAAGACCCATCAGTGACGCTCGAATCAAGTATTCTTTGTTTTTATTTGTCTTGTTTGATTTTTTTTGTATGCACATCTCATTCTGAGTTTTTTTTTTTTTGTTTTGTTTACATCTGAGTAGTAAACTCTACGTGTAGTCTTTGTACGTACGTTTTTTGATTTTTATTTTGGTCGTATACGTTTTTCTTAATCGTCCTAACACTTTTATCCGTGTTTTCAATTTTTCTCGTCTCTTCCAGATTCTAAGTTTTTTTCCCTGTTGTTATCATAGTTTGTTCGATACGTTAGCCTTCGACATTTAACACATGTGTAATAGTTTTGATTTCGAATGATTCGGATTCGAATAGATTTTAAACGATTTATTTTTTGTCGATTGGTTTAATTATGTTAAATTAGAGATTTTTTTAAACAATAATACTTAAATGAGAAGATATATCATGAACATCACGCCTACTCTTCGTGGTAAATTGTTTTGCATCTTTTGCAAAATTCTATTTTACGACAAGAAAAATCCAATTACTTATGATCTATAACCAAGAGAAATAATAAGTACCTACAAAAAGCCTTTTACAAGTTATTTGCATGAGTATATTTCTTATGAACTCTTTGTTTGTCGCAAACATGTTCTTCTTTGTTCTTCCTATTGGACTGGCGATTGACCAGAACAACCTTGACTGACATCATCTAAATGTTCCAATATTTGCTTTATAGTATATACAATCCAATGGGAATTAAATGTTCGTGATAAAAATCTGAAAGCATACTTATCTTTATCTACTAAATAAGCATAATTTGCATAATCAATTGTATCTGAATTGAGCTCTTTAGATCTGCCTCCACAGTTTCGATTAATTTCGCAGTACAAATATTCCATTCTTAAGGTGAAATACTGAGCGATTGTTGAATAAGTTTTGTCGATTTTCATCTTTTGTGTTTCAAATGGTCAGGAAGTCAATTTGTTTTGAGAATGAGACATTAAAGGAATGAAGACATAATTAATTTACTCGCCCCTGAAACTATATCTGTAGGTTAATATATTAGCATGGGATTTGGAAATTTCAATAAGTTTAACGGTACCAATTTTACTACACCAGATGCGTTTCGACGGTATGTTCAATTTTCTCCAACATTTGATATTTTTGTCTACAGGTAAAATATTTCATGTCGGAGAAATGTGATTTATTTTTGGCATTAAGGATTAATGAAATTATATTCAATTCTTAAGGTAAAATACTAAGCGATTGTTGAACAAGTATTGTCGATTTTTAACGTTTGTGTTACAAATGGTCAGGAAGTCAATTTGTTTGAGAATGATCCATTAAACGTTTCAAAGTAAAAAGGAATAAAGACATAATTAATTTACTCGCCTCTGAAACTATATCTGTAGGTTTTATATATTAGCGAGGGATTTTAACATTTCAATAATATTCACGGTACCAATTTTACTACACCAGATGCGTTTTAACGCTATGTTCACGTTTGTCCAACATTTGATATTTTTGTCTACAGGTAAATAATTCCTTGTTGGAGAAATGGGGTTTTTTTTTGGCATAAGGGATAAATGAAATTTACCTGTAAATGAAGTTTCAGTGAATCCAGCTCAAATTAGCTTTTTAAGCTTCTTAAGATAATGTTGGCGAATACTTGCTGGGCAGAATAACAGGTAGCTGTCTCAAAGTCTGTTAAGAATATCTGTGGTGCTAGTTGGTGTTGTTGACAAGCAGTCGTAAGCAAGTTAAATAAGCGGTCGCATGTCTGCTCACTTTTATTGGGTATAAGACTTAAGACGATTTGGTATATTTTGTTCATCGACCATTGCGTGTATTGTGTATAGTTGAACAAACTGTGAATGGTACCCTTCAAACTAGTTGTATTAGTTCACTTTATTCAATATTATGGTCATTGATTTATTAATTTGTTTACAAGATTGTGAAATTTCACAAGATGTAGATGACGGTGCTATATAGAAATCATGTTCATGCATTAAGTTTTTACAGAAAAAAATACGGCAAGACTTGATGATCTATGTAAAATGTGCTCTTCGTGGGGGTTTTAAAATTTCAAACTAAACACTGTAACTAAGATATTTATTCGAAGGAAAATGGGAATACAACTTAGAAACTTGGAAATCATATAATGGAAATAGTTGAATTAATAAAATTTAAAGGATTATTTTTGACAGACTTAACTTTGCATAAGCTGTGCATGCACTTAGATAAACTCATTTATCTAGGATTGGATGAAAAATGTATTATGGTTGGGAAATATATAATACATTATCTTTTACACCTAAACAATGTTTAGATAACAAACTCAGACATAACTTAAATATCCCGACTCAATGGGATCTGCCTCTTTGCAATCTTCACCGAGTTGAAATGGGTGATCAACCTTATGAAATAAAAAGACAGAGTGCGACTAAAGGTGCGGTTAACGATACTTTGACCCCTTCTAAAAATGGTTAAAAAAACTTTTTCAAGCTGTCATATTTTTATTCTAGATTAGAATCGGAACAAAAGTTGAGCAGAATTGGAAGAATATTCATCCTAAATTCCGTTTATTTTTGAATTTTTCTGAATGTATTTATTATTTTACATTTATTATTAAAAAGTATAATAAGAAAGATATATTATACAATATAATTCTGGTTTGCCCACATTTAATTCGGGTTTATAAAAACATTGGGTGTTTTATTGTTTTAACAGTCATACTAGTAGTTTATTTCTGAATTATAGACATATCTTTTACCTTTATTTTACCTGTAAAATTTTATAACAGATACTGAATTCTTCTATTTAATCAAGGAAAATGTGCAAAAATATTTTATAGATTTACTAAAATGTATTGAAATTGACAAATATAAAAATAAATGTACAAAAATGTTTGCTAGTTTGACAAATTATCGACAACATTTTTAAATTGTTGGTAAATTCTGAAAAAAAATGTAAAAAGTAAAATAATGAAACTTAAGAATAAGCTAAGTGTCATAATAAATAATTTGTTCTGAAATTTGAAATAAAAAATTTTAATCAAATTAGATCCACCACGCAATCATCAAGCCAGTCTAAGATAGAGGTGATCAAAATAATGCAGACTATGAAACAACGGGTCAAGAAAGAGGTTACTACTATACGTATATGCACCATTATCCAGTATGCATTGGCTCTGTATGTTTCAAATACGTTACGGACACAGCTAATATCGTAATGGAAAATCATTTTTAAGAAATGATTTAACTGACAAAAACACTATCTGCCTGTTTGTTT